GTAGCTCTACTACAACCTACCAAGTCGTATGCATGCGTGGATATTTCTCACTACCTTTTCTTGGTGCTTTCATGAAACACAATGAGGCCATAAGCTTTAATTCTGCGATAAGAAACTGAAATTCGTGGGAACTACCAGAGTGATAAATTGTACAAAGTCTAAATGTTATCCACTTGACTTGAACACAAAGTACTAAGTTGGACCAGGAGCCCGGCTCCTGGTTGGACAACTGAGATAAGGTCGAAAAAACTATTTCTTTGGCCTTTGTTCATAAGTATCCTGCTTGGCAGGCATTTGAACTTTGGAGGAAAAAGGCGAACTAATAACTGAGTAAATCTTAGTGTAAAGAAGACGTATCGCGCGTTATCCTCTCTTTCCCTTACTTAAAACGCCTGCTTCGCTAAATTTTTGCCTGTCCAGGAGATAAGATTACCTTTGCGTCTGTCGAGTAATTTCCAACTTATTGCATAGGGTGAGAAAATGAGTACAGATATCATCACTGTCCTAAAGGCCTGCATCCTCTACACTGCAGAACAGAAGAATAAAGAAAGAACAGAGAAAGAAGTTACTCAGTTTCTAGTTAATCTGATGTAGTGGCCCTGGGGGTAAAAGTTGAATATCAGTCAAAAGAGGTAACTGCGAAAAGATAATTTAGAAGTTTTTTCTACTGACAATCTTACCTTGAAGTTTTGTAAACATAAATATAAAAAGTGAAGGTGTCTGGCTTTGCCTTGCGTGGCAGGTATTAGATGGCCGAAGGGTAATTCGGGCACGAGAGACGCTGCATTGTTTTAAATATTTGATTTTCTATCACCGATTTTTATACAAATGAAGAAAATTGGAGGAGGAACGGCAGGAATACACAAAGAAAAATAGTTACAGACTGATTCTGAATAACGTCAAAATAGGGCGAACAAAAGAGACAAAAGTAATGGCGTCGTTGCCAAGGAAATTCTGATTCTTCTAAAACTTCTTTTCATCTGTTTTAGTTTTCACACCAAAGTGTGTTTGTAGGTCTATTTGGTTTGTTAATTACGACTGATAAGATTTATACCACAAATAAGTATATTACTTCACAAAAAGGGCATATGATGAGGGGACGTTAAAAACATTGGCAAAGAAAAGTAAAAGCTTAGATTTATCCAGGGTAAAACTAGCTTGAGACCTTTTGTGAATGACAATAAAACAGTATTTCCATTTCATTACATTGGGCTTTTTAGATTTGATATTCTAGCAAGCCGTATGCTTGCAATCTCTCTTATAATAGCCTATATCGAAAGCTGATATCAGTTTATGTTTCATTACCGCGATTCATTTTTTTCAATTCCGGTTTGTAGGCAGACTTGCGCATATACAGACCACCACAAGACCCTACGGAAGAGCTCGCGCACTTATGATATCAAAAATGTCTTTTTGTATTACGTTTTCTAAAAAAGGTTGTTTTTCTCTTAAGGAACGGGAAATCAAGCATTCAGCAAGGCCGTTTAGAGTCAAACGGGAAATTGTTAACGCCAGGCGACATAACCAAAAAGGTCACAGATTTTACAAAAGGTAAAGTTATTAGACATGATAGAATATAGCTCTTTCCCTGTTGGCTATGAATATTTTACAATACAAAGTGGAAGGTGAAGAAAAAGGTGTCAAGAGCTAATCATAAACTTACCGCTTTTAGTCCTTTACCTTGTTAACACTTTCAAGAAAGGGAATTATGATCAAAATGAATTTCCCTTTATTTTATGAGTTTTTTTAAATGCAAAGATGCGAATTAAAGTATTATTCGCAAACAGGTGCTAGCCAATCAAATAACGCATATAGCTTTTCTCGCATGTAAAACAAGTTATAAGGTGTCACATTTCACTCGGCATAAAAGCCATCTATCAGGGTCCACCTAAAGATTTTGCCGCGGAGCACGGAGACCCATTGATTCGGTGCTTGGAGCCCTACCGTTATTTTACTGCGGAGCCTGGAGCCCTCGAAAAGTTTGCTGCAAAGCCCCGAGTCCCAAATACTAGCATTCAAACACGCTAGCACACCTGAGTATAGCGGTTCTTTGCTTGTTGATCATGCGCTGGTAATCAACATGAAGGTAGTGAAAAGCTAGTAAAATAAACTGAGACTTATTCGAATTCATTTTTTCATTGTAATGATGTTATTTCTTTTGTGTTCTGGGCGTGTAAAGTTTTATAAAACTCTATGGGATCATGTGTATTTAAGGCATCTGTCGGACGTCCGAGTTTGGTCGACGTATCGGCGGAGAGTCGACCGAGTGTCGGTCGATAGTGTCGACAGATGCCTTAAAGACACTTGGAAAAACGACCTGATGAGCTCCACAAAACACCTATTGGACTGTACACAGTGTCTTAAGTGTCGGATACAAGTATTTGTGTTTTAAAAAAGGTTGTTGTTCTTCATCGTGGTGAATCATAATTAATAACATAGTGCTGTCAGTTTTCTCACGATGTGGTCACTTTGATAAAGATCGCAACATTTTGACTGTCCACTGCTAGCCTCCATCGGGCAGATCAGGCGAAGGGGTCGACTTGTTACTCCTCATCTACAAAGCACGATGCTCCACCCATTCGGATTGGATGGTTTCTACAGCTGCGATTGGTAAATTTCGATCCTCGCTTTGTAAATATCGATTTTTCGGCTTTTTGCGTGGGCTCATTGGATTCCCGGACCTCTTTGCTTCCATCTCTGCCTTCTGCAATTGGCAAAACGGTTCGTCACGTGAATGAAGTAAACCGACGCGACTTTCAGATCTGGGGCCCGTTTCTCGAAAGTCCCGGTAACTTTTCGGGCCCGGAAAGCTGAATTATTATTGCTGGGTTTGCATTCAAGGTCAAAGTTTCAATAATTTTGAAATGAAACTACCAGTTAACGAAGAAAAATTGACTGGTTTGTGAGCTAAGTTACCGGGCCTTTCGAGAAACGGGTCCCTGGCCCTGCCCGACGGTGGTATGGAAAAAATAGTGGTCTTATTGCGTTTTTTAACACATTCGCCTCTGAACCGCCCGAATAACCGTCTGTGTTGATTCACATCCCTTTTAGCGCTTGTGACGTCATCAGTTTTAACGGTCAAGGGCAACTTTATCAGCTAACCTGTGCAGGGTGAAGAGATCTTTCAAACCATACCAGAATGAGTACGATTCAGTCAAGGAGGCGGGGGAAATGGCTAACAAACATGTAACGTTGACCCAAAATTCCCTTGAAACATGATCTTTTTCCTCTATCCTGTCTTATCTCTATGATTCTAAGAGCTCCCCGAAAGCTTTTCCCACTAAAATAAAGTTTACTACACTCTTTTTTTCTACAAGAATATTTTTTATAAGAATATCGAGCCTGAATTTGCGAAATTTTAAGAATATTTTAAGAATAAACCCCAGGCTGAGGTTTTGAAAAGGATGATAATTTTGTGTGTTCAAAAACTGTAAATACAATACAATTATATTTTTTCAACTTGTTCCACTCTCTAAACGGCAAAACTTGCCAACAAGACCAAAAAAACCTGCACTAACTATAATTGATACCCCAATGTATTCTAAAACGGAAATGTCATAAGCTATAATTAAAGAATAATACAAGAACATTTTCAGCCTAAAATCGGCAGAAAAATAAGAATATTCAGCCTGGGACGGAAAAAACAACATTCTTAAAAAAAAAAGTGTAAATGCCCAGCAAAAAAAAAAGGTGACATAAAAGGCGAAATTTTGCTTTAACAACTGCGCCCTCAACCTCGTTCCCAGAGTTCTCTCTTACCCGCCTTACCTCGCTCCGTAGGGCGGGTAGGAGAGAACCCTGGGAACGAGGTTGCTGCGCCCTGTAGAACATCTATTGCACGTTCTATATATCACGCCAGACGCACTCTGGTCAGTTTACTGTCTCCTTAAATTACAGGCACTTCAGACGAACCATACGATATCACAAGCCTTCATAATGAAACACGGGTTAAATAGAGGTTTCGCTGTACGTAATCCTTACGTTCAAAATATGCCATGATAATATTTGTCTATCGCCAGAACCATCCACTTTCCCCCTCAACTCCTACCTGTACGCCTAACAAACATATCGCACGCACTCTGTTGACGAGCTGTCAATTTACATATGAACCGAACCGCAAAATATCAGGTAGACAATAAGCGAGTGGAGAGAACCGACGACCGGAAATACGTCTGTGTCCGCAGGTTAAATATCAAGGGGCGTTTTTCGGATTCGTGGGGTTTGCGGGCAAGTGTTTCCTTTTTTTCCCTTCCCCCTTCCCCTTCCATTCTTTTTCGCTCTCGCTCCAACTTTTGCGCAATAACTTGCTTAGCCTGTTTAAAGACCCCCTATATAAAAAATAAAAACAGCGGGGGATTTATTGACCGCCAGTGTAAGGGGGTAGGGATGGGGAAAGAAGAAAATAGACGCGCCCGCCGATTATTGAAAAGAACGAAAAGAAAAATTAAACAACGACTGTGTACAGGCTATAACTCGCTACGCGGGCTAAGTTCGTGCTAAAGAAACCTCGCGATCATTTAGAGGATAGAGGAGATTAGAGGGTGAGGGCTGAGGGGTTAAGGGTGACGGGTGAGGGATTAGACCTGCCGGAAATTTCGCTCGTGTTCTCGATAGTCTGAAATGTCTTACGTCTCCACCCCCTAACCCCCTAATGGGGTGGAGACTTATGACATTTCAGCCTAAATTCTCGAATGGTATTACACGCAAGGTTGTTTCACTGGCGTGCTGTGATGAAGTCTACGTTTGATGGTAAAATGGCAAAAATAACTGTGAATCCTTCCCTGAAAACGATTATTGATCAAAAAGTTGATATATTTGTGAGTAACCTTTCTTCACATCAAGATATTACTTTGCGAGCTCGAGCCATCGATGACAGCGAGACAGCGTTTGAATCATTCGCTTTCTACAAAGCTGACGAGAACGGAGAAGTATCGTTGGTTTCTAAGCCCTCGCTTGGAGGATCGTATACCGGTGTAGAACCCATGGGGTTATTTTAGAGCATGGAACCCGTGGAAGGAGCCGACCGAGACGATATGCTGAGAAAACGAGATGTTACAAAACCCCTGAAAGTTTCCTTAGATGTCTACAGCGGTATACGTATTGGTCGGAGCAATTCTGAGTCGTTTGAAGAAAATAACAAACTGGCGACCGTGACACTACTACGAAGTTACATGAGCGATAGAGTGACCCGACACGTTGTAGAGAGTGGTGGATTTTATGGCACTTTCTTCATGCCCTCGGGAGATGGACTCTTCCCAGGTATAGTGCACCTTTTCAACTGCGAATAAATAGACTATAAAGAATATTCTGAAAGCAGACAAATTAGGACCCTTAAGACTTTTCTTACATAAACCCTTCGGAAGTAATTTTTCAAAGGAAAAGCACCGACTCCCCTGTATACCGTATATGAACGTGACAATACAGAGAGGTCATGCTGTTGCGTTACAATTATCGCTGCTACGTAACGGACAGTACAAGCAGATGTCCAACGGCTAGTTACTTTGACAATAACAATGTTCCGAGTTTCCCTATGTCTCCTTATCAAAGCAGACCCGGTGCACAAGCATTTTCATGAAAATGAATTTAATTCGCTTGTGAATGAAAATAATTTCAATATAACGAGAATTGGCTTTGAAAACGAGGCTTAAGGCCAGACCTTGTAGCAAAACGCAGTCTTCGTTCCGTCACTGATATTCGAGTCCTCTTTTGCGCCTTATTGCGATCAAGTCCATCGTATATGTATGACAATGAAGAAAGCATCCAAATTTTGGCTGTGGCTTATGAAGGCATTCGAAGTCGAGATATCTGAGAGTGTGTCACGAAATTCAGCTAGATTAGGAAATTACAAAATGCCCGTTAAATTAAGAGAAACTTAAAAATAACCGCTTAAAACTTTAAAGGAAGGTTAAAATAACATAACAGAAACAACAGATGTCACGGATGGGCAAAACTGAAGAAGATTGAAACGGATTGAAATTAGGATTTTTGAAAACTGTTCAGCCTAACAGTTTTTCAAAGTTGATCCCTGCTGCTTGCAACTTCAAAAATAATGCTCAGGAGACATATTTGTTTGTCTCGGGTCTCTGATTTTGTCATTTACATGTAATTTCTTTACTTACTGTAAGTTCCATAGCGATTGAGGGCGAGTAATTGGCCAAGTAAAACAAAATGAACTGGACTGCCGTGACACAGCCCCTTTAAGAGTTTTTAAGGGGCATTTTTTGTCAATAAATTGCTGGAAAGAACCTAGACTCCCTGGGGTCTTTATTCCCTAAAGCGCCAGTCACTGTCTACTACACTTGTAGTATCCCGATTTTTTCCGAGGGAGGGGGGACGTCTGTACACAGGCCAGTGTCGCAGCACCGTGATCTTTATTCTGGGCCGCTAACGGACTTAATGAATTACTGGAGGTGTCTTTCGAATTTTCTTTCAACGTGATTTGCCAAATGAACAATGGCTTATTTATCAAGCCAACCATGGCGCGTACTCACATCCTGGAAACCGGGATTTCGGCGTTGGTTCGCATACGGACTAGATGTTCAGTTTCGTCTATGGCGCTGTTTACTACACTTGCCGGCAACTGTCGGAGGAATTTACTTGGCGAGGAACACCCCTAAGTAATAAGCAATATTGTTATATAGCTGGAAACTTTTTGCTAATAGCGCGCGCTCTCATACTTCGAGGTCACATGGCATCTAACAATGAAACTGTTTCCCGTCGAAATCTGTGGGCTGGCAACAGTCAGAGGGTAACAGTGCACTGTTGCGCGCGAATGTTGACCTACGACCCCCGTTACAGCGAGGTTTAATGGATTTCCAGCTTCAAAATTTCGAATCTTAATGTTTTCGAGAGTATCGGGAAACAAAGGTAACTGTTTCCTGAAGGACGAGTCATTAAGTGTATTTATTATATGGCAACAATAGTACGCGCGCTCTGATTGGCTGTTTTCTTGTAGTGACCGGGCATTATTTTCTTGTAATGACCAGGCATTTCTAGCTAGGTGTCCAGGGCATATACCATCTGTGTTTAACTTGATAGTGGACATCGTTATGGACATCCATGTTATGGTTAATTGAAAGCTGGCAAAAAGGGTATCCTCTGACCAGTGTCACCTGACTGTATCGCAAGCTCAAGTGTACAACTCATTGAGGTGACATGTTTTTTAAAGTCTTCCGCCGACCAGTTGTTGGTTTTAATTGACCACAAGCTCAGGTCCATATTGAAAAGTCCATACAGTGAAACCTCGATAGGGGACTGGCAAAATTTGTTCGCTGTAACGAGGTTTCGTTATATCGAGGGACTTTTTCATTCATATGTTTTCCTATTACTGGGATAAACAAAGTCGTTCGTTATACCTAACCTAACTTATCTAACATACCTAACATACCTAACCTAACTTACCGAACATACCTAACCTAACTTCTAACTTCGTTGGAAGTTCGTTTTATCGAGGTTCCTCTGTATAATAAATAACTTATAACCTCTTCCGTTCGGTCATTACAGGGAAATCTTAGAAATCGGCCTTGATGTATTGACCTCGCTATCCCTTGGTCAACACATCAAGGCCTCGGACTGTTTTTTCCCTGTAGTTACCTCACGCTCAATTAATAAGTAGTATTATCTAATGCTATCTTTCTTCGTAGGTGTTATCGATATATGGGGGTTCACAGGTGGCTTAAGAGAGGACCGAGCAGCGCTGTTAGCAGCAAATGGTTTTGCAGTCTTGGCGTTAGCGTACTGTGCATTCAAAGACCTTCCTGAAAGGTATGGCTTGCTTCAGGTATCCTATTTTGAGAGCGCAATTGACTGGCTTACCTCACAACCGAAGGTGAAGTCTGGTGGAGTTGGCCTGGTTGGTCTGTCTAATGGAGGTACATTAGCGCTGGCACTTGCTGCTCAGCTAGGAGAGAAAGTCAAGGCAGTGGTCTCTATTTCAGGATACCCCATGCTAATTGGATGTTCATTGGCAAGTCATACCATGACTATACCTGGCTATCCTGTTGATCTTGACCCCTCAAAAGGTTCTTGCTATTCCCAATTCTTGGCTATATTTACAAGTAAAGATATTTGCAAAATAGGATCGCCATGGACAATTCCGGTGGAGCACATATGCTGCCCCGTTCTACTTGTTCATGGCCTTGCTGATCAACTCGTCCCTGATATAGAATGGATGTGCGAGGAAATCTTTCGACGCATGCAACAAAGTGGCAAGGAATCATTGTGCCAAAAGCTTGCTCTTCCTGGTGCCAGCCATTTTATTACACCATGCTATATATCCCACCCTGTTCAAGGAAATATATCAAAGTATTCGATGAAATGTGGTTAATTGGAGGAAATGATAAGCCTTTGTTCGCAAAGTCTTCTAAACAATACTGGAATAAAAGTCTAGAGTTTCTCTTTAAGTATATTTAAGTGCTTCGGTCAAAGGTCAAAGTTATAGGTTCAACTGTGCCTATCAGTTTTGTACAACCTCGTCTCTATGGCGCTTTACCCTGGCTTTGGAGGTGGGACAGGGAAAAGAGCCTTGGGCACGAGGTTGAGTTTTGTACACAGAGATTTTCGGGACAATAAAAATACTCCAGACGTAGTTAATCGATGAACTGATGATCGATAATAATCCATAGTAATCGATATCAATCATCGATAAATATCGAATTCCGATATCAATCGATAGAAATCAGAAGTTCAACTGTGCCTATCAGTTTTGTACACGAAGAGATTTTCCGGAAAATGAAAATTCCAGACGCAGTTAATCGATAATCGCTAGTAGTCGATATCAATCATCGATAGAAATCGATAAAGAAAAAAATTGTGGCCTCGATGAAGGTGGCTCCGTCATTAATACAGGCTCATTTATGTATGACGAACTTTTCGTCTTAACTTTCTCGTTTTTAGTGCTATGGCAGCAAAACTTTGCAAAGAATTACAGATATTATTTGGCAATAATATGCAATATTCCGATTTCATTGATGGTAAATATTTTTTGCGAAATTAGCGCTTAAGAGGATCCCACTTTTCGAAGAAAATCCTGTCTAGTAAAAAAGTTTACTGACAGTTTTCATTGAAATTTCTGTTATCGGATTTTATTGATATAATAAATATAACTGAGAAATTTCAGAAAAATCGTTGGAGCAGAAGTCCTTAAGTAGAAAGTCCTTCAAAATTTAGTGGTGAAATTCTTCTTGAATACCAAAAAGAAATTGCTCTGAGGTAGAACGAGCCACCAGTTCGAATTCCTAAACATTACCCGATTTCCAAGCGTGCTATTCTTTAAAAAGTACTTTTTAGTTTTAGAAGCACCTTAAATTGCTCCAAACCTTAATTGCTCTGAAGTCGAATGTCCTGCTGAAATATCCCCTCTCAGTTTTAACTAAACCTCATGCTACATACATTTTGATGTATCGCAGTGCATCTTCAACTGCTTTTGCTACGATACGATGCTTCAAATTCAAGAAGAAGGTATTTGGATTGTACACTACCTCGTAGTTACGAGAGTTAATCTTACAATGCACCTTTTTACAGATGTACCTCGTTTTAATTACATTTTACCCATATGTATTTGCGAATATAACGTTCATTAGTCTGTTGCTTAAATAGTAGCAACAGCTGAGTTTGGAATAAAGGTTATCCTGACCTAGAAAACTTAGCTAGCTTTTGTTCCAGTACTTTTACTTTTTAAAAATAGCAACAATAATAAGCTATAACGATTTCTTTTATTTGATTTTCATTTACTTCTGAATGATTTCTGTTTAGATATCTATTGTACTCTTTTGTTTTCAATGGTTATTCAAATCATCTATAAGTAAGTTGCTTTGAGCTGATTTTTTGATTACATTGCTCATTACATCGACGTTTTCAGGGCTGATTACATTGCCGATTACATTTGTGAGCTAAGTTACGCTAAGAGTACAAGAATAAACGCTGTTCGAACCCAAGTTCAGTTTGCTTTTGCTGTTCCAGTAAGTGGTTTGATCCCGGACCTCAAGAGAAGTGACGGCTCTTTCCCGAAAGCGAGTTGCAATTGAATCTAGTTTCCCCAGTTAATCGAGAGTTAAAGCGCCGAGTTCCCGTCGAGTGTTCAAATCGTTCGAAAGTGGAAAAACCGTCCGTGACATATTTTAGCCTAAAGTGGGGTGTGGGGGCAAGGGGGCTAAAGTGAAGGGGAGCGAGTGCTCTTTCGGAGCCTTGCACTAATTTGAGTCTACAAAACAGCCAGGGGAAGCTGTGTAGGGAGAATCTTTGTAGTCAGCGTTAAGCTCGAACAGGCGCAAAACTCGCACCGGATCCACTCCATCCTCACCCCCTGGATCGTTACTTTTTCATCGCCATCTTGAAGAACGAGAGAACCCTGGAGAGTGGGGACGAGGCTTGATTCTTCCAAAGATTCCGGATTCCGGACGGCTCCTGAAAAAAATTAATTCAAACCGCTGTTCTCAAAGATAACGAGGTCCCAAAAACTGGAAACTGGGTCCAAATTCTTTCCCAAAAACAGTCTTACGGTGCAATTCGACGCAAAATCGAAAGGCCCAAACGGCCGGAGCTTATTCCCCCCCCCCCCCCCCCCCCCCCCCCCCGGGGG